GAATGGGCATTTCATCGCGTATTTTGAAAGAATGGGCATTCCATCGCGTATTTTAAAGAATGAGCATTTCATCGCGTATTTTAAGAATGAACATTTCATCACGTATTTTAAAAATGAACATTTCATCACGTATTTTAAAAATGAACATTTCATCACGTATTTTAAGAATGAACATTTTATTACGTATTTTAAGAATGAACATTTCATTACGTATTTTAAGAATGAACATTTCATTACGTATTTTAAGAATGAACATTTCATTACGTATTTTAAGAATGAACATTTATTATGTATTTTAAGAATGAACATCTCATTATGTATTTTAAGAATGAACATTTTATTATGTATTTTAAGAATGAACATTTCATTACGTATTTTAAGAATGAACATTTCATTACGTATTTTAAGAATGAACATTTCATTACGTATTTTAAGAATGAACATTTCACACTGAACCACATACCTTCCTGACATCAGTAAAGACAGAACTGATGCTGTCAGTCTGGCCTGCTATTCTTACAAGGCTGTAATATACATCAAAGAGCAGTGGAGAGTCTTTCAGAAGGCCTTCATATAGGTTCTGTAGCCTAGGAAAGGAGGATAGCCACAACTTTGAAACATATCCAATGTTATGTATTTATTTTGTCACAAAAGAACTTAAATACTTCTAGAAAACAGGTCTGAAGCCTGAAGGATTGATTAAGATAATAGTTTAAAACAAGAGTTCAATATATATTGCTTGTCTGACCCATTATTTTCACAAGATTATAATATACATCATACAGAAGTAAAATATGTTTTAACATTTCGCTACATTGTGCCTCAGAGTGTACAGCATATCTATTTGTATGCTTTCATTGTACAATAGAATCTATAGCATACACTAGCCTTCTTTCTCTTTAATTCCACTCTAATGTAGTTGCCCTGGCTATGCATATAATGCATCCCAAGGAAACTTACAAATTTTCTATTGGTTATATTGCATATTGTACAGATCACATGATAAAGTCATGCGACTATCGCATATATTCAATAGGATAACGTGTTTTCACAGAAGTTGTTTTTGTAAATCTTGAGGCATTTCTAACACTCACTGTTTTCCTCTGCAGCTGTATGTCACTGTTTCGTCATGATAAACTAAAAAAAAAAGATATATTCTTTCACTTGTACAAGAAATTTTCTTTCCTACCTGTCGAGAAAAATTAAAGCAGTGAATACTGGACAAAACACAAAGATTTATCCTAAATAAGTTTTAAATATTGAATGCCTATAAAGTGAGCACTGTAAGTATGTATACTGAGATGAATACACCACATATCGAAGAGCAGTAGGCTAAACAATGTTGTACAAGCAATTTTGAGTGCTACTGAAAGATGAATGAATATGACATCACAAGACAAAGAATTCTACCATGTAATCATAAACAACCTGTTTTAGTTACTTTGAAACTGTGTAGCAAGAATGCAACATTACAACAAAATTAACAAAGAAAAAGTCCAGTATAGGACTAAATATTACTGCTACATTGAACGGGTTAAAACAAATTACATAGTTTATTTTCATACATTTATAAAAAAAAAGCTTATTATTTTGATTCATTTTTCCATAATGAAGAAAACAAATAAGCTACATACAAAGAAACTAAAAACTGACAAGAAGAATGCTGAGTACCAAGTAGAAAATCAGCTTACAAAGAATTTACACTTTGTTGTAAAACAGAGTACATTGTTTGTTTAATGTTTTTACAAGATAAGAACAAACACCGGTAAAAACTCTAGAAAACCTAAGAAAAACATCACCTCCATTATTGTATTTTTTTAGAAGAAAGTAACCAACACATATCAGTCAAGAATAATTTTCTCAACTTGCATGTATTCTAAACTGTTTTGGAACAGCTCAAGCAATCTAAATATGGTCTAGAACATCAAAAACAAAAGAGGTAATTTGAAATAAAATACCTTTTAAAGTAATTTTATTTAATGAACCTCTACAAGGATTTCTATTAATAATTAAAGGAAGGTTGAAGTTTATGTAATATAAAATACTGATATGTTAAATGAAATGTTGCTGACTAAAATTATTTGACTTTATATATATATGTGCCAATAAAAACAATTTCTATAAATATTCAACTCACCATATATTTGAACCTCATATGCACATGTGGGGATCAAAGTGTGCATACCCCAACCTTGTACAGAGTGCAATGCATCATGTATTATAAATTTAATATCAGAGTTATCAATTTTTCATGTTACCCTAAACTGCTGATTTTGCAAAAGTTAGTGTTAGAGAAGATTAGAGAAAATACCAGATACAATATAACAGGATACTGAAAAAACTTTAACTATGCATTTAACAGGTTGTAGAGGTTAAGCAAATTAGATTTTCAAACTTTATGATGGACAAAAGCATTTTTACTTTTCAAATAATCATCACTTTGCACTCCAACTTGTCATATCTGAGTCAGATTGACTTTGTCATTTTACAGACATATCTTTAATACAGAAACTCTTTTAACACATCCGATTTTTTGTGTAAACAAACTTGTACTGTTTACTAAAAGCCTGCCACATTTCATGAAGATACACTTTGTAAATTCAGATAACATAACTTCTCCAATATGGGGGAGGTCCAATGGAACAACCACGTGAACATTTTACAGAAACTTTATTAACACATCTAATTTTTGTGTACAACAAACTTGTACTATTTACTAAAAGCCTGCCACATTTCATGAAGATACACTTTGTAAATTCAGATAACATAACTTCTCCAATACAGGGAGGTCCAATGGAACAACCACGTGCAGATATTTTACAAAACATCATTTATATAATAATTTAAAAAAAGAATCAATTCAAAGCCTTCTGAATAATTCATATACAGAAACCATTCTTATGAATCATATAATTCTATATGATCCAGAATTCAACACTTACACTCTCAAGCAGATTTGTCCAGTTCTCACAGATGGTGTCTTGGTTAATTTTTCACAAAAGGCATACATAAGATTGTCACATTGATCTGGAGGTACAAGGACCAACAAGGATACAATACTGTTCAACACCGATTCAATATCTAGAAAGAGAAGAATGGAATTAAAATTCAACCATAATTTATGGTGCATAGACATGCTATACCTGACAACTTTTCACTTCAAATTGCTCGACTAAAATGAATTATTAGTTACTGTATTTATTAAGTTTGTATTCATTTGAAAGCAATTAAACATACTTAAATGTAAAAACATTTATAAAGAAATCAAAGTGTGCTTCTGTGATATTTAACGTTTACATGGCTAACCACCACATTTAGTACATTTATACAAAGATAAAATAAGAGACAACAGTAAATGAAACTACTTTTAGACCTATAATCCATGGATAACTGGTATGCATAATTACTGAGCAGACAGTTATAAATTTAAAAGTTTCCTTCATGAATTTAATAAATATGTGATACTCTATATTGTGCACTTGCTTTCTTGTGCTTATGATGTGAACAATTTGAGGTATAGGGCTAATTTGTTTAGTATTTAGATTTGGGTGATTAGTGAAATTTTATAATTGATTAAATTCAATTATTTTCACATGAAACTTGAATAGTCGGAATAAAAAAATTGGAAACTCTAATTTTCACTAATAAATTAATTGTGTGAGTCATGACACTAATTGATTAAGCTGAACACCCTGAAACTACTTGAATAGTTGAAATAATTAATAATCAGAAACACCAATTTCTATTAGACAGTTACTTTTGCTTCATTAACTCTTTCAGTACAACAAGGTCTAAGGGAGCACTTCATGACATTAAGTTACATTCAAAATTTATTTCAACAATTTATTTTCAATGTTTGTTAATTTACATTTGGCATCAAAACATAGTTTAGGATTCAAATTTTAATATTATCTAAGTTTAATCTCTTAATTTCAAAAGAGAATATTTAAATACATTCTCAATTTTTACTTCTCTGTACCACATAATGCTTCTTTGCTCCAAAGTGTCCATTTTAGGTTTTCCTTCTACCCCTATAAGATCGTCTAAGTTCCCATGAATTAAACTTATACTACAGATATTCTTAAGCTAAAATGTAAATTTCTAGCCTCTCAGCTTCTTGCTTTACTGAGATATAAGCAAAAAAAAAAAAACCCCACGTGCAACGTCCCTCCAATCACATCCTGCTTTTAAAACAATAACAATAATTCTGACATTTGCAATTGGATTACTTATAATCAATACAAGATTTTAATTTACTGAATTTTAATGAGGCTAGAATCATTCAGGCAACAGGGTTCGAGTAATTTGGCCTCGGTTTCTTTGGTTGCTATTGTTTAAATTCAGCTTGTCCAGCTATCAAAATTTTTAAAACTAAGTTACGTCTTAGAAAGCCAGGTAGATTACAGTATTTTAGAGCCTCCTATTTTTTGTGTGATTGTTTGTTTGTTAGGATTTCGCACAAAGCTACACGAGGGCTATCTGTGCTAGCCGTCCCTAATTTAGCAGTGTAAGACTAGACGGAAGGCAGCAAGTCATCACCACCCACCGCCAACTCTTAGGCTACTCTTTTACCAACGGATAGTGACCATCACATTATAATGCATCCACAGCTGAAAGGGCGAGCACGTTTGGAGTGATGGAGATTTGAACCTGCGACCCTCAGATTGCAAGTCGAGCGCCCTAATCACCTGGCCAAGCTGGGCCTTTTGTGTGTATGAATTCTTTGTATATTTTAAACTACATATTTGTATTTACAAAAATTTTTATAGTCATAACATCCCTACCAAAAAGTAGGGTTAAACTCTCTCTGGACATTGATGATTGAATGTAAGCATTGACACATAATTACTAAAGTGTAAAAATCTGAAACTTATTATGTTAAATAAGAAAACTTAAATGTTTAAAAAATAAATAATTTCTTTGGATAAAAAAATCATGCATGACGTTATTCAATACTGTGTTCACCATAACTTGCTCTATGCTCTCACTGGGTGATTTGTTATTTTGTTACACTAGTTCAGCAGTCAGACATGGCTCAAAGAGCAATAAAACAGTAAGACTAAATAAGGTTAGAAGACAGAAGATGTTAGGATAAATAATTGTAATTGTCTGTTACAATCTACAGTTGTTCTAGAAAAACAAATGTACTTTTAATTTTATTTTATATTTTTTAATTTTTATTAGAAATAATTTTATTGAAAAACTTAACATTAATTTAGAAGGTTCTAGACACTATGTGAATGAAATATGAAAACTAAGATGAAGAAAAGCATTTTTATTCTTAACATGAAAATCATCTTGTGTTTGGAGTAGTTAGTTTGAGCCACACTAACTCAAAAATTCACACACAAATCTTTAGCAGAAATAATTTATTAAAAATTCTAATTTTTGTGCAGAACATATTTGTGATATTTACCAAAAGCTTAGAAAATTTCATTACAAGTAGTAAATATGGAATTACAGTAAACATTAATTCTTCAATATGGGTATATTCCCACGCACGTAGGTTTAATGCAACATTTAAAGATATTTGGTTAACCATATCAAATATTGTGAAAAAGGTGGTTAATGGTAGTTGAGATTTAGTATCAATATAAACGATGCTATTATAATGACAATTTGTTTTAAGTCCACTTATAACTTAACCAGTGAAAATCATTTGTTAGAATTAGTTTAAGTTGTTAACAACCAACAAAACTTAAAGGTATGAATAGAAATAGAATAAATAGAAAAACATTTTAAGATAAATGTATGCTGTACTTTTGAAATTGCTTTTTTTGTTAATAAAATGCATTGAGCTTCTTCACCTGGTTCACTTTGTTCTTTGAAACACACATCGCAAACACCAATTATCTGCTGAAGATCTATAAGGAAGCCCTCTGGTGAGTTTTCTTCAGAAATATCAGCTCCTAAGCTTTTGAAATAGCTCCTCAAATCTTGACACTATTTAAAAAAATGGTAATTGTTAAACTGTTATTAAAACTTAGATATTAAGTATTATTACAAAAAATACCTTAAACTACAAACAAAAATTGAAAGGCCACAACACAAATACAAGTCAATGTTATTTTTATCTGGGTAGTTATCTTGAATTCCTGCAAAATAGTTAAGTTTTTGAAACTGATTGAAGAAAACTTTAACTTGTAGTTGTATATAGCTTAGGTTTTGCTCAAGAATACCATTCTTCTAAAACATATGTTAGACAATGTGTTGAGTTTTATTAGTATTACTGTACTTTTATAATTTAATACGTATCTAATTCTATCTACCAAATTATTGGCTCTTCATATAAATAATCTTTGTAATTATCAAGCTCTAGCTAACTTTTATGAAATATTTCTCTATTAAAAAAGAATAGTGGGGCAAAAATTGTATACAGAAATTTTTGTTTTGTGATGATGTGGCTATCTTAACAAACTATTAAGAAATAAAATATAAAAAGAAAGAAGATGGTTCAGTCCTAATTATCAAAACTATGATTCCACAAAGCTGTCTCTTATTTGTTATTGGAACAGCTAACTGACGACCTTGACTTTCAAAAGTTAAGGTTTAGAGCTTTGTATGTAGTACCTGTTGTTTAAGTTTGGTGAGCAACCATTAATAAAATCTTGAGATATCCTGTCCATAAGTTTGGGATGGATGGACAAAGGCAAATGAATATGCTCTGCTTCATGAAGCAGTGGGGGCATAATTACTCTTAATATCCCTTTGCTAATCACAACTCAACAAATATATTTTAAGCTGAAATACAACAAGATCTCAATGCCAGAAATGGTGACTGAGGTATATGAAATGTGCCGGCATCTATTTAAGGGCACCACAAACAAAAATCCATAAAATATTTTGAACACTTTGGGTATTCAAGATTCAGACAATTATAAAAATAACTATGATATGTGTAACAACCATTTCTTTATCAGAGAACACAATTTTAAATAAAACTACTCTCCTCACAACATAAAAAGGACGACTTTCACTAGGACTGTACACAAGAGTTTGATTATATCTTTATTGATGTAATTATTAAATGTAGCACTAAAAAACTGGAATTCTTAAAAAGAAATTATTTTTTCAATAAAAGGTAGCACTTTAATATATAGAAACATTAAAGTTTATGAAAATTTTAGGTTCTGTACATTGAATAATTTTGATGCAATGAATTTCATGACTTAAAGAGCACAATCCAAACTTTTCCCGTGCAGTACTTCCCAGAAAAAAATCATTTTTTTAGAAAATTTTCAATTTTTCTAAATTGCTTTCATTGAGATATAAATACTATGATTAGTAATTACTAGCACAAACAGCTGCCTGTAGGGTGACATTTCTGCTAGTATTAAGTAATGGCATAATTAAACAATGATTAAACTTTTGTTGATAGGTGCTGATACAAATGGCTACATTCAGTTTGATTTTAACTTTTCATTGATTATTTTAGTGGGTGGTTTTGATGGATCAAACATTCTTACATCACTGATTTTCTTACATTAAGTACATATTTTGCATGTTTAATTTTAATGAAATATGTTATGAAGAGGGGTATTGAGATATGACCTTCCTCATTTTTCAGTTTTAAGAGAAATTTATACAGTTAAAATGAGAACAAGAAAGTCACATTAACTTCACTTTATCATCCAGAAAGAAGAACTAGAAATTAACCAAACTAAATTCAGACTTGGAAATTTATGTACCTTTTGCAATAAAAAGTTACACTAATTTAATAAAAGAGCACAAATTACATGCAAACAAGACATGAACTGGGCAGAGGTAGGGTAAAGATTGCTTTTTTCGAGAAGGGTGAGAATGAGAGTGCTAGGTTTACAATGGTACATTATTAGGAAAAAAGGTTAAGGCTGTAGAGGTAAGTTCAGTTAGCATCCAGGTACAGGTCTTTAACAAACTTGAACTTTTGACTGCTTACAATAAGAAAAGAGAAGATCAAGAGGTTTTATATTGGAAGAATCTACTCTGATAAAGTTGTATGTAGTGGAGAGTACACAAAGAGGAGGACTAGAATTTGCAATCCATTACAGAAAGCGATGAGAGTTTAGTTGCTAGTACCAAGAAACATTCTCTTTTTTTGTCATACATGTAGGAGCAAATGATGTTGGAAATCATGAATCTAAACAGCTGCATGAAACATATATAAAAAAATTCTTCAAAGGCCTAGAAATAGAAATAGACATGTAACCTATTCAGGAGTGCTTCCTTGGGCTAAATAAAGGAATGAATTAATTAGCAGGATCCAATGCTTAAATAAAAAATTACCAAGATATGCTAAGGCCAAAAGGTGGGCTATATGGACTTATGGGACAGGTTTCAGAGTAAGGGTGAATTATATGCTAGTGATAGGCTTTATTTAAGCAGGCTAGGTAGAATCATGTTTGTTGAAGCTCTAAAAATATTCATTGAATATAGTTCAACTAAACTTGTTTAGTGGTGAGGGAGCTTGAGAAACTGGAAATAAATTGATAGAATAGCTAAGGCAAAGAGTTTAGAAATATGTGACTTAGAGCATAAAAAGTTAAATTATTTTTAAAATAAGTCTGTCAGATTTCAAAATAAATGTAGTAGAATTACGAATAAGATTAGTTGCTATTATTCTAAAATTAGGAGTTTTAGGAACAAATGAATGAGTTCAGTTCTAGTTCAACTAGAAGAATATGATATAATGGGAATTACTAAAACTTGGTTAGACTTGGAGAACACTGATAACAGACTACTTTGAAATCCCAAGCTATAAATTATTTATTAGTGATAGACTTTTAAAAGAGGGGTGGAGTGGCTCTTTATATAAGAGATGAACTGTAGTCTGTTGGAAATGAAAACAAAAATAGTGGTCAAAAGGTCGAACCTGTAGGGGCTACAATTAGAAGGGTAGAAAGTATACAAGTGACAACTTTTATAGGCCACCTGATCAGACAGATGAGATCAATGAGAAATTATATAATGCGATCAGGGTTGCTACTAATGAATATATTAATGTGCAATAATTATAGGACACTAATTTAATTTTATTCATAGTCATTTTGATTGGAATTGTGCGAGTCAATTAGTGAGTGAGAGATATTTTTTGTAGTGATTCAGAAAGTTTTTCTACACAAAATTGTTAGAGAGCCAACCAAGGGGGGGGGATGTTATTTTAGATGTATTTTTAACCACTAATGAGAACATGAATGCAAGAGTCGAAGTAGGGGAGCACTTCCCAACCATCCTGTTAGAAAAATAAATAAAACTAATTTAACTGTAGCAGTCTGTCTTTTCTAAATGTTAAACTAGTATACATCATGCTATTGCTTTCAGGATATAGCACAAACTAATACACGCTTATGCAATTATTAAAGTGAAGTATTTCTGCCAAGAAAACAGTCCGGTTTAGGGGTTTTAAAATTTATTAATAATATTCAAGTTCCTATTTCTAATTGAAACAGTCATCCCAAATCTATATTCCACATACACACACAGGCATGCACGTACTTAAATCTGTACAAGGTTACAATGTTTTACCATCTGAAATTTGAAATAATTATACATGCAAAAAAAGAGCCCAACTTATACTAAAGCCAAGTTCATACAAAAGGTTTCTGGTATTTGTAAATTATCACATCAAATTCAAAGTCCCTCTTTCTCATCTATACCAGTTGCCACGAAAATAAGTTATTTCTTCAAAAATTTACACACACAAATCAAAGTAAATGCATTACTTACACGGTACCTATATTAATTTTTCAATATTATTCAAGTTTTTTTAACTTAAAAATAAAACTTTCGATTTCACTTGAGCAAGACAATTCTTAACAATAATATTCCATCAATCCTACTTAGAACTTAATAAATCAACCTTTTGTTAAGCACCTTATCCAAAGACCCAAAAAACTGTTCAAACTTAGTCAAGTTCGAAGCCTGATGTTTTTCCCCTAAAGAGATAGCATTAAGTAATCCACGAAGGGATAGAATGTTGAGACAGAGCACTCAACACTGCAGTCAGTATCGTATGTGACCAAGTGCGAGTTTCATAGCATATGGTTAAGCCTAATTTAACATTTCTTAAACGAACTTTACTAATGGTCATAAATACCTGGATGTCTTCGGTAATGTCAATAAATGCAGGTACGCTCATTTTTTTATTATTACAGAATAATGATTTATAAACAGAGAGAAAAACTAAAACTCTCAAGATAGTGTTCTGTAGCTTTTCATGAACGTGGTAACAGAACTGTGGCAAACTTCATATACATACGTAAGAGATGGCAGCACATGCACATATATATTTGTATATTTCACTTGCTAAATTATGGCAAAATACTGTTAGTTGAATATATATATATATTGTTGCATTATTTAATTTTTCATTTGATTAGTACGTCAGATTATATTTAAGTAGCGACATATGCTTGTAGTTTGTCGTTAAACATGAAATATTTGTGTATTTTTGATATGCTAAATCATCTTTCAGAATGAACTTAGTAATATCGATTGAATTTTGTTTATTTAATATTTTTGCGCATAGCTATACAAAGAGCTATCTACGCATACCTGTCCTTAATTTTGAATTGATAGACAAGAGGGAAGACAGCTGGGAAACAACATCTACGGCTAACTCTTGGGCAGGCTATTCTTATCTTCCCCAATAGTAGGATTTTGCCATCGCTCTTATAATGCACCCACATGTTACAATGTACGGCGTTTGTTTTTGGTGAAATTGGACGCGAACTTGGAATCCTGTGATTCACAGCCTGGGTACGCTAGCTACAACCAGATCATAGTGATTTAAAACTAAAAGAAGAAAATGGCGTTGACATTTCTGGTAATTCTGCATGTTTCTTTTTTCTTTTTCAATTCCTTCAAGGAGTAGCTCTAATTCCTTAAAAAAGCTGAATAGTTTGTGTGTTCATTAAGCACAGAGCTAAACAGTGGCTATCTATGATGTGCCCACACGGGTATCGAAACCTGATTTTTAGTATTTCAGCCCTCAAACTTGTCGCTGAGCCACCAGGGGCGAGCTGAACAGATAAAGTTCGTTTGTTTGAAGTTAAGCACAAAGCTACACAATGGGCTATCTGTGCTCTTATCACCACGGGTATCGAAACCCGGTTTATAGCATTGTAAGTCTGCAGACGTAGCACTGTACCATTGAGGGGCAAGCGAATAAGAATAAATAATAACAAACAAACGAATAGGAATTTTAGAAGACTGATTCAGTTATGAAATAATTTTATAATCTTTAATTAGTTTTCATAAAAAATATTATACACCAATTACCAATAAACGAATAGAAATAGTAAATCATTATTCCAGTAGAAAATTCATACCTAATTTTCTGGATAAAA